GATCTATATTTTTTCTGAGTGAGTGTGAGTAAGGGGTTCGTACGTATGTATGTTGAACTTCTTTCGCACCGTACGTAGCCACCCGTGCTTAATCGGACGTGCGAAAGGGTACGAAGAAGATGGTGGTGGTCATGAAGTTTGAGTGAGTGTAATGGCCTGGTCAGCATGGGACTATCTCTAACAACATATGATTGCAAGTGGTAAATACAGCTATTACATGTGAGTGCCATATTGGCTTTAAAATCACAGCCGGGGTCGGGGTTACCAAATATATTAACACAGTGAGGTCGCACAACAATCCTCGTGGTATTATAAATAATCATCGCCCAGTTGCACAACTCTATGTGCCTGGGATGCTGTTTGCTGCTGAGAAAGCAGGTGGTCTCGGGATTAGGATAATAGCTGTTCTTCGCACAGATTAACAGATATATTTTAGAGCATCAAAATGCCAGTGAGTCTATTATTTGGTGGACAACGAATTAATCGTACCACTTTATTACCCATCGCGCGCAGCAGTTTAGTGTATTTGTAGGGGAATTAAATGCGATGGGTAGACCAGTGGCACGGTGGTTAACGCACTGCACTATGAACTCCCCACGGGGAGTCTCACCTGAGTTTGATATTTGGCCACGGCTAACTTCAGTGATGAGTGATATCTTAACCCCTTCTGGTACCCTCCCCACCTTCACCAGTTCGCATTGACCGGTGGTGGTTAAGTATGGTTAAACAATCCACCATAACCATTTAAGTAATACAATGAACAGTATACAGCGATTACGAGATGTCAAATAACACTGCATGGAGCAGCTAAATATAAGCCCTGTAATGTATGTTTAAGGCAGTGGACGTGGGAATTTAAAATAAATGGACAATAAATGGCAAATTGAGCTTTGTAGATGACGTAGATTTGCCGGGAGTATCACGTGAATAATCACAGACTGGGTGTGTAACAGCAGCAGTAGATTTGGACTCGGTGCAAATACTCAACAAACAAGAGAAATGCCATTTGGAAAACGTCGGAAGAGGTGACATTCCAGCTGGGCAGTCGGGATTTAGAGCAAGTAAAGGGATTGTGTATCTAGCAAGCACATTGACCGAGGGCAGTTCATGCAAGTCGAATACAGTATTAACCATTGCATTGGGATAGCCTTCAGTAGCATTTGGAAAACCGAACAAAATCTGGAAGGCAACGGAGATCTCAAGGACAGCCAATGTCAGACTAGAAGTGGCATTGGCGGTCCCGGCTCCACATTATGGATTTGGATGTTGGCCCCATAGGAGAAAGCATGACATAATGACACTGGGAGTAGAAATGAACTGGATGAGAAGGATCCCGGGAGTATTGAGACTATAAAGAATGAGACATTGCATCATAAGCCAGCAGGTATTGGTTCAAATTAAAGAAAAAGCAACAAACACCTCTGGAGCTGCCACCGCATTCACTTGAAATTGCTGTGGCAAGGATTGTCACTCAAGGATTGGCCTACTAAGTCATTCTAGGCGCTGCAAAATCTACAGCTGACCTCGTAAGGCGCAAAAAGAATTGTCTCTCGAGACACAAAGGGCTATGTATGTATTGGTTCAAAGATTTAAAAAAACTTTATTTTACCAGGTAAGGCCCACTGAGCTCTATCGCTCTTTTTCACAAGCAACCTGGCCACAAATAGTATCCCAACGAAGTGGCTTATCACGTGGAAATGTATAGTAGCCAAATACTCTAAACGCGTGTTTAACCTAAATGTGGAGGGCAAAACCGGAGGACCCGGAGAAAAACCCCACACGACCACGGGAAGAGAAACACGCAAACTCCATATACACACAGCAGGCGTCAGGGTCGGGATCGAAGCCACGACCTCCTGCATACCAGGCGAGGTAGTTAACATCTCCTAGCCACCGTGGCGCACTCTCACTACCCACACAGCCGTGTGTGTGGGTTGGGCATATGACGAGATACATAGGCCAACAAATTAACATAATTTAATTTGCAGCGTCATGTGGAAGAATCAAGAAGAATCAGGTCGTCCGTGCTAGAGGTGACTTGACATTGAAAAGGAGAAGTATCTTCTTGGTTCTTTCGGTAAAGTCACGTAGAATGGAAATTAAAAAAAAACATAATAAAATAAAATTCTCACGACGTTTCGGCCACAACACAAGCAGCCGTCCTCAGGCGAAGAAACAGAACCGTCGGAAAGACAGCACTCCAATGAACACCGCCAAGCCCAGCAGCGCACCCTAAGCTGGGTGGGAGGAGCAGAGCGCCTCGGCAAAGGAACCCACACGTCAACAGAAGAATTCAGCATCGAAGTAGCCACGTCAATGTGAGAGACCAGCAGGATGCCAAAGCCAGAAACCAGCATGCAACTGGGAGATCAGCATGACGTCAACGTGAGGAACCAGCATGCAACTGGGAGATCAGCATGACGTCAACGTGAGGAACCAGCATGCAACTGGCCACGGAAGCAGCTACGTCAAAGTCAGAGCCCACATATCAACAGAGGCATTCAGTACATTGACGCCAAAGAATGTACTGAATGCCTCTGTTGATGTGTGGGCTCCTTTGCCGAGCCGCTCTGCTCCTCCCACCCAGCTTAGGGTGCGCTGCTGGGCTTGGCGGTGTTCATTGGAGCGCTGTCTTTCCGACGGTTCTGTTTCTTCACCTGAGGATGGCTGCTTGTGTTGTGGCCGAAACGTCGTGAGAATTTTATTTTATTATGGTTTTTTATCATTTTTATTTCTTTTCATTTTATTTCCCTTCTGCGTGACTTTACCGAAAGAACCAAGAATATGAATCCCTGCAGTCACGAAAGCTTTAATTCGAAAGAAGTATGTCAGAGAGAAACATGTACTGTAGGTCCACAGAGAGCGATCGCCATTACCAGCGAATGCAATTACTGAAGATGAAGAAGTTAATGCGGCCTCATCGATAACCACCATGTGACGACTGGCGTCAGAAGAAGAGGAAGAAAAAAGATTAAAAGATAATGTGTTTTGCTGTAAAATGCGAGCTCAACCAATACTACTCAATAGATACTTACACAAACACGCACTTTTAAAATAAAAACCCCCTATATTTTATGAATACTGACATTTAATGCAAATTGGGCAATCAAAATGTCGTTAACAGAAACATCAGCACAGAGATAAAACGAAAAAGAACCTTATACCGTATAGGAAAATGACTTTCTACATCATGTCAAAGGTGTTTTTTTTAATTGAGGTGCACCCTCAACCACTGCAATACAACGTTGCATGCTGGCACGAGTGGACGTGTACACACAATTACCGCAACTCATTTTGGTTGTGGCTCGTAGCTGGAAAGGAATCCTGGCAGGCGCCTGACACACACAGGCGAGCGGCACCAAAAAAAATTGCCAAAAACCTCCCGGCTCACAGCAAGTTGGCAGCAGCAGCAGCACCACCACCAACAGAGGCATCGTAATGACCGCTTTGTGAAGCCTCAGAGCACCTCTCATTCCACGCTTCAGAACGTGGATTTCCTTTCACGGCGTTGCTGGGCACCACATGGACGCTGTTCGTAGGGGGGTTTTTTTCTTCTTCTCAAGAACGCACAGAACCTGCCACAGGAGTGTTCTTTTATATATATAAAGACCCCAATTGCATGGATTATGCAACAGACATCCGCAGTTAACTTTGAATGGATTTCACGATTATTTTTGGGCAAGGCTAACCCAGTATGTACTGCCATTTATATGAATGTAGCCATGCACCGTATGAACAAATGTGATGCGCTATTCAGTGGTGATGCGGTGTTGGCAGTGGTTCGAAAGCGTTAATTCACGAAAAAAAGTCAACACATTCGTCAATAAAACCGTGGCCTTAGAATAAAAGAATATATAATAGGCAACGTTTTGAGCAGTGTCCCTTCTTCATAGGCATTTCATCATTAATAAGCTAAACTAAAAGTATTTGTTAAAACAGTCTGCCTCAGCAGCAGACCATGCTTTCCCACCTGATGATGGACGCTTGTGTGTTGCGCCCGAAACGTCGTGGTTTATTTTATTTTCTACCTACGCGACTTTACCGAAAGAACCAAAGAGTATGGATTCCTGCAGTCACGAAAGCTTCGAATCAAGATTTACTAGGTAAGGCCTACTAAGCTATACAGCTCTTTTTCAGAAGCGACCTGGCCATAAAATGATAGATAAACGAAGTGGCTTATCGCGTGGAAATTTATAGCAGCCAAATACTCTAAAAGCATGTTTGTAAATGTGGAGTGAAAACCCGGAGTACCCAGAGAACATGTAAACTCCAAATATACAGGCGTCAGGGTCCACGACCTCATGTATTTAAGAAAGGCCATTTCCTGAAACATTGCCCATCGTATATATATATTTTTTATTTTAACATGTTGGGTTTTTGCTGCATTATCCAATGTCTGGTGTATGCAGGTACAGTGAATGATCTGTTGAGAAAGCCAGCGAGTGCAGCAGGCACTGTGGCATTCTGCCTTGTTTCACACTTCTGGAACGATTTTCTCTTTTGCACACCAATGACAATTGAAATTGCCATGGATGTTCCTGTGCATGCACGCGACTCATTATTATGCACGCGGCTCATTATTATGCACGCGGCTCATTATTATGCACATACTTAAACCCACTCATACTTGCTGCTTAATGTAAGTGAAAATGTATGTCTTAACGGCACTTCTAGCTAAGCTATTGTGAGTACAAGTACTGTGATAGTCATCTTTAGAGTGCATCTTGGCACTCATCATAAAAAAGTACATTTGCTGTTTAAAAAGGGGAAATAATAAATTGCAAGGGTTTTTACCGATTTGCAACCGACTTTAAATGATTGTGTTTTTACATTGTTTGATTAACGCATAATAAACGTTGACTGTAAATGATAGCTTTGCATTTGATAATTACAGCTAATAGCTGTAAATTAGCGCACTCTTATTTCGTCGATGGCCCTTAAACGTTGATAAAACATCCAGAATACGATGCATAGGAAAAAAAAAACAGTACTCGCCGAGCTACAGGTTCGAACAATTTGAAATACAATGTTTATTACAATAGAATTGAACAAACAATTTAAAACAGGCGTCTGCATGTCCTTAGGCCTCAAAACAGCACTCTGCAGGCCATCGGTTTTTTTTCTTCTTCCAAAAACCAAACCAATGACCCAGGCGACAGGGCGATAAATCCAGCAGACCGAAACAGCGTTTCTCATTATACAAACGATAATTCACAGGTAAAATATTGCTATTTCTTAACATTGAGGGAAACACCCTGTGCTTCGTGTTTACACAAGCGGTGGAGGTGATTGAAAAAATAAAATAAAATTCAAGCATTTCCCATTCTCCTTGACCTTTCATTCCTCGTCAGCCACGATTAAAAATTAAAGCATGTATAACGTTATATCCGCACGATATTGGTAAGTAAAAAAAAACACAAACGATGCTGGGAAGAGAAAAGTATCAATATTACGAATCGTATCAATATTACGAATCATTTAGTCTTTCAGATCTATTTCGTAGGCTTTTTGAAGACCCAAATACAGTGTTAACATCCGGCAAACTTTCTAAGAATTATTGTACGTTTGAATGTTACTTTAATCAGTTGCATTTCTGTTCATTAAATGTGTCAAGGTTACATTTTTTTGTTTAGAAATATGATGTTCATGAATGCCAGCTATGGGTTGCCGCTGTTTTTGCACTTGTCCTGAAGAAACCCTGCACAAGGCATTCGTGTTTGGGGCGTAGAACTTTGATTTGTACGGATATCTGGTGATATTGTTGTCGAACGTGCGTTGGACACAGTTTTGTGTTCGATCGCGTAAATATAAATGCGTCGTTAAACCCGCCACCACCCGACACAGCCAATTAGTAAGATTTGTCACGTAAACAAAACGTGCCAATCTGTTGCCAGTACACAACAGCACACCGGAGAGTAAAACCTACATTGTGGGTATTATTGGTCTCGAAAGCCGATGTATTAAACTGACGGCTTTGACAGAACTAGGCTGGCTGAGGAATACGGTCTGTGAAAATTGGTGGCAACGCTAATGCCAGCCACTGTAACATCCTGCACATTCGAGATCTGCTTCAACAACTGTAATGCTTCACGAGTGTAGTTCAATTGAATTCTCTTTGCAGACATGGTTTCCAATTTATGACGCTACACTCAAAGTTAACCAACTATAACCACAACGCATATTCAGACCTAACGACAGCATTTCTTTAAAAAGCAACGCTGTTATGTGCTCAGCACCTAACACACACTTTTCGTGACTATGCAGTAAAACGCTAAATTCTGAAGTATTACTTAACGATAACCGTGTTACGTTCATAAGCATCATGGAAATGCTAGCTTGCTTAATATGGATAAAATTACGAAAAACAGGTATAGGTACAGGTGTATATATAGTACTGTATTTATTACCATAATTAGTATTTTGTGCTTTTCATTAACCATGTTTCAATAGAATATATAACACAACTTGCGCATGATGACTTCTGCCAGCAATCGTAAAAATATGCGGCCACAGAAAGTGTGAAATTACGGAGGATTTGTATACAAGAAAGCACTCTGTCATAAACTTGAGTAGGCAATTAAAGCACAAAATAGATCATTATATATCACGGCTCCTTCAAAGGCAAAAATCATCTCGCTAAGTTATATACTTTTTTACAAAAGGTCAGGCATTAATCTCAGGAGACTCGTACAAGTTAACCTGACAATGACACACTTCTGATGATATTTAAATAACAATATAAACTGTCCTGCTGCATTACATCAGCAGCAGACTTAATGACATTAAGAATTGCTAAATGACTAACTTGATCCATTATGAAGTCAGACTGAATAGTGTGTACGATACAGTATATCAATATTGCCTGCCAGTTAAGTGATCTCAATAAATAACCATGCCAAGCAATATTATGTTATGCTTAGTCTGTGTCTAATGAGAGACAAGTGCGATCGAGGATCGTAGCTTATATAAGCTATGTGTACGTGTTTACAACGATAGGCAATATAGTTTACAATGCACGTCTATAAAGATATTAAATGTTTAAACGGAGTTGCACATCAACTGCAGGTGAATGAAACAATACATAACAATAAAATGATTTGCATCTGTTTTATCGGCTCAACTAGGGGGACAACTTGCCTAGTTTTGCTGGTAAATATCGCTAAAGCGTAATATATAGTTATTTTCCAGAGTAATAATCTAAATAAAGGCACATCCATTTCATAAGAGGTTTTTTTTTTTACAAGAGAACAGAACTATTGCCGTGAGATATGTCATTGGGGTGGTGCCATTTTAGATGCACATCAACAATTTTGAAAAGTGAAAATTCTAAATTGCGCAAGACGTCTGTAACGGGGCTTAGATTTTTTTTAGTTCTTACAGACAACCGTATTTGTACAATATCCATTTACTAAAATGTGCGGTATACAAATACTCCTTTATTTTCCGTTAAAGTATTTTCAGTACGTAAAATACCAATGTATTTTTTTTGTAAATGCGACACAAAATTAAAATGTTTCCGTCTGCAGCAACAACAGTTTTTGTCTGTGTTAGTGACAGTGTATTAAGTGTAGTGTAACATGTATTTAAAAACGGTGTAGCAAAATGTACATTAAACAGCACGTTTCAACACCATGCCTTATATGCCACGTGAAAGTCAAGCAGTGCCATCATCTTTAAAACCATCAAAAGCAAACTACTGCTCACCAACTGTGTGCTGGATTGCACAACGACCTTCCAAATATACTTCTTGGCCTTAAAGCCCCACTTTCGGGACCGACGCTCAGAGTGGCACAAAAAAATGGCTGAGGAAGCTCCTTAAATGTTTTCACGCTAAAAATCCCAGCCGCCAATTGCTTTGGTGCAATGATGTTCAATACAAATTGCACGTGCCTCCGGGGCATTCTATGTGCATTTTACCTTAAAAAGAGACATGAGGCAGAGAAACGTAGGCCCGAGGCTTGGCTTTCTCTTGTGCCTGGGTGTGAATTTCATCAGAGCACATACAGCAGCCGCCATGACCACAAAACTGCCTTCATTGAGGACGGATAAAGAGCAAAATCGCTCTCCTTTTCCCTCCTTTTCAAACTTCAAACCCCTTCAGTGGTTCCATCTCTTACTTCGACACCAGACGTTTACTCATAAGATTTCATCAAAATCATCCACAAGTTTGGAATGCTGCCGAGCCTTCCATAACTTATAAAGACGAAAGCTAAAGTAAGTTTCTATCATCTTCTTGCCTGCGAAAACAAAATGAAGAAAAAAGGGATAAATATATTGATTTAACCAACATATCTTAATGCATGGTGCTAATGTAGTATGTATGAGCTGACCAAAAATGTTTCTTGTACCTTTTTTGTTAGTTTTAACTTCACATTAATTTTATACCGCGTCTATGCCTTTTAATTCATAAAGTAGTTTCGTAAGTGGTACTGCTGACTGCAAACTAAACCTTTAGCCACTGTTAACAACATGTGTAAAATTGGTATTTCGGTATTGAGAGATAGACACAATTAACTACAGAGCGGAGAACAAAAGGTGAACGCTGCAGAGGAATAGAGCGTAAGAGATGGCGGCAGAAAGTGGAAATCGCAGATTCAGTTCAAAAGCCACTACTGGACAGGAAAAAAAAACAAAGCAGACGAAGCACACGTTTAACACGTAGGCTTTCGTCACCAACGTTATCCAAAAATATTTTTTTCTGGTTAGATCGCATAAATATAAACTCTGGCTGTCCGCCTGATGAATACAGTTGTGATTACTGGCGAAACGTCGTACGCGAATTGTTGATACTCTTTGGTTCTTTCGGTAAAGTCACGTAGGTAGGAAAAGAAATAATAAATCACGCCGTTTTGATCGCAACACAAGCAATCGTCATCTACTACTGCCGCATCTTTCAACCTGATGACGATTGCTTGTGTTGCGATCGAAACGTCGTGATTTATTATTTTATTTTTCTACCTACGTGACTTTACCGAAAGAACCAAAGACCATGAATTCCTGCAGTCACGGAAACTTCAAATCTAGATCGAATTGTAAATGTTGTGAATTTTACCCTCCAACACACCGGTGTGCTGAATTAGTAACGAATTGGCACGTTCTGTTTAAGTGACAAACCTTACTAATTGGCTGTGTCGGGCGGTGGCGGGTTTAACGGCACATTCATATTTACGCGATCTAACTCAAAACACCTCTATTTTGGAGAGGAAGCACCGCATGAGAATGGTAAGGCCATTGCCCAGCAATACGAAGTTACAGTCTCACAAGCGCATCAACAAGCTCCAACACGCACCTTGAGCAGACAACTCCAGTGGTGACTCAAAAGACACCCGATAGGGCCCCATTATAGACTTGAGGCTGTCCAACAGCTGCACGCAGGAAAATTAAAACACAACACGTTCATTTTTAACTTGCGGCATGCGTCCATAAAATGTGATTAAAGCACTTATTGAACAAACAAAAAAATCGGTAAATATATTATGCGGAATTGGTGATTGTCGCTAGGTTTCAAAATAAACTTTTTTGTTCCAACTATGCTGTTTATTTGATTAAGAATAGTTTGAAGAAATGTTTGAACGAATAAAAAAGTATTCATCCTTTCAATAAACATCAAATATGCAAATAGGAAAACGCATGCATACATTCTTTATGCACTGTCCAAAATATACATTATGACCCAGTGAATCTATTATGAATAGAAAATGGGCAATTATAATTCAGTAGTCGCTGCTAAAGAAAACAAATCCTCGTTAGAAAATGGCAAGTTATTAAAATCCATTACAAATAGAAAAAGGCCAAGGTAAATATACTACTTCTAAATGGAAAATCGATACACGTTACGTGACAGTGACTGTATTGCTGCTACAAGAAACACGCTCGCCTAGGAATTAAATGTGCGGCTATCCAAGGGCATCCACAGAAGTGTTCATGACACCTGTGACCTGTATGGCACCAAAGTATTTGCGACAGCAAACTTGACGGTTATAACCGTCAACATACCTCCATCCTCGCGACAGTTATTCCTTGATTGCAACGATTTCAATAATATATGATAGTGCGGGTTTACTACTTCCCCCCCAAACTCCCGCAAAACAAGTTCCAGCCACAAGACACCACAGAATTCCTGTCGCCGTTCGGTGCACAACAAATGGAAGGGAAAATACGCCACAACGTCGCATATCCGCACCCCACCTATTGAGCGGCCACATACCAGCTGCAATATTTGTGCATAATGTCACTGTCACTATCTATAGATCTACGCAAATCCCGACCTTTCACACGCAGCGGTGGGTTCTTAATCTCACGTACATTATGTAGCTCACTTCGAAAAGCGCATTCGAGCATTCTCCCATGTCTAAAGCAGCCTTTGCTTTATTTTTTGTCCGGTAACTTATCTGTTGCACGGTGTGCATCCACCTGGGTCGCCATCGAGTTGGATGTGCGATGTATGAATGTTCTTTCCGAGTGTTTTGTGCGCGGTATTGTAATTCGCACGCGGAAAAAAAACCACGGCCAGTACCTTCTCTCCATTGTGATTGCCCAGCACGTAGCATCCCATAATGTGGACGACGTTGAGCTCGGTGTTGATCTTGCTCATCAAGCTTCCGAGGCACTTCCAGAACCTGCACGACGGGACCAAAGAGCACCAGAGATGCTGTCACTGCCCTGGCCCAAAAGCTGCAATCCCCGTTTATGCGCCTGAAATCCAGCATCTTGGGAGGCAGCGAGAGAGATGGCAAATTTGTGAAACTCCCAAACCCACTGAAAATTATGCTGAAATTATGCACTCCTTGAAGGTTGTGTGCATGATGGGTTGTGAAAAAAATAGTTTTTTTTTAATGTGGAGAGATTAATTCATGAAGGAGAAAATGCCCGCTTAATTATTCTCTTATTTATATTCTCCACAAGGACGAGAATGGTTATTTTGAGTTGTAGATCAATTAAGTAATGCTGATTACGTACATAATTAAATCATCTTCTTTCTCCAGCTTGGCGAATGTTGCCACCTTATTCTTCAACAGATACAAGTATCCGGGCCCTCCCTGTGTGGTGAGAAGAAGAAGGAGAAGAAGAAGCACAACATCAGGTTACTGAAGTGTCACGTGACAAACCGCTCCACTTACAGTCATCGGAGTGTCTGTCTGGTCTGTGACCACAAAAATGGAGCAAAATTAATAACACATTCGACGAATGTTAATCGAGCCAAAGTGAATGCAAAGGTTATTCTTCAATAAACTGCTGTAGAATACTTAAAGACTGGTTACAGTTTATGCGAAGGTCACTGTTAAAGCATAAAATAACAAGGGAAAAAAAACAATCATTCACGTCCAAGGATTGTGTTAGACTTTCCAACGTGCAATTAGTTTAGAGTTCGTGATAACAATGTTAGATTCTGAGCCACACAACAGCCAGGTTTTCTGTCTGGTGAGTCCTATATAGCAACACAACTTTGCATCAAAATGTATTATGTATTGAATTACCTTCAGGAGAATTATCGTGACCCCATGTTACCCATACATGCATGAGTTCTGTACCATGGCTGAACATCGTTTCATATTTTATGTAAGAGATTTAGCGTTTTTTTACCAGGTGAGGTCCAGTGGCCGCAAATGATAGCTCAACAAAGTGGCTCATCATGCAGAAATGTATAGCACTCAAATACTCTAAACACATGTTTATAAATGTGGAGGGAAAAAATGGAGTATCCGCGGAAAATTCCACACAACCACGGGGAGAACACGCAAAGTACAAATATACAGGCGTCCTCCTGCATACCTAGGCAAGAGAGTTAACATCTTGCCAATGCGGCGCTCCAAATATAAAGATCATCGAGCTTGTCTGTGGTTCGTCAGCGATTCTGAGATGTAATTTGCATGAACCACGTGACATAAACCTAAAAAAAAGCCACTTTTTTCAAATTTTCTTGCTGTGGTTTTTACACCTGATGATGATTGCTTGTGTTGCAGTCGAAACGTCGTGAGAATTTTATTTTTTTATATTTGTATTTTATTGTTTCTCTTCTGCGTGACTTTACCGAAAGAACCAAGAATATGAATACCTGCAGTCACGAAAGCTTTAAATAAAAAAAATAAACCTAAAAGTTATTATTAATAACAAAGATGGATAGATAGACAGACAGAGAGAGAGCTAATACATTAACGCCCTCAGCCTTAGTTGGAAAGCGTTAAAGAAACTATTACAATGCTATTAATGTTTTTAATCAACACTATTAAACATTATACAGCTCAGACTTGAACCACCTCTTCGGGAAGGTAAGAGGTCTGCGTCTTTGTGTTGTCTGCTTGTGTATCTGCCTTTGTGTCTTGGCTTGGATTTGTGTCTCTGTGCTGTCTCTGCCTGTGTGTGGGCCTTGTTGCTTCCGAGTGGGTGCTGCCGAGCCCCACTTTACCTCGTGCTGTTTTGTCCCATTGTGCGCTGCCGCTCCCCACTTTGCTCCATGCATACCTCATGCTAATTTTGTCCCATTGTCTCTCAGCCTTACCTTCTCTGCCTATTTAAGGCAACTTTACTGTGTGCTTGTCTCTGTGCTGGTTCGCTCTACTTGGATGTCTGTGTGTGTGTGTGTGCGGTCTGTATTTTGAGTTTCATACTTAACTTGCAATTTAGCAATCTTTGAAATAACGTGATCAACCGGACTATGCGTTAATTGTGTTTTGACCGACCGTCTGTGTTGCTTTACATGGTTTCCAAAATTTTGCTAAACCCTGTTTGTCTGGTATGCTTCTCCCTCTGTGTCCCCTATTGTGTCGGTGTTAGTTCCCCCTACTTGGGTGTCTGTATATACATCTGAGGTTATGTGTCTCCCCTCTCTCATAATTTAGCTCTTCTGTACCTGATGATGGCTTCTTGTGTTGCAACCGAAACGTCGTACGCTATTATGTTATTTTATTATTTCTTATTTATACGTGACTTTACCGAAAAAAACAAAGAGTAATTATACAGCTCCTTGGCCTTGCCTGTACTCTGACAAGATAAACTACATATTCAATATAAAATATTTTAAACACGCTTAAGAATAGTTCTCGTCTAATGTGTTTGCTTCTGAGAGTCTGATGCCACAAACTCATGTTTGTTTTGCTCTCTGAAATTCCAAATGAATACTGCAATGTTTGAAAATATTGAATACAACAACAATCTTCTTTGGTTCTTTCGGTAAAGTCACGTAGAATGAGAATAAAATAATACATTGATAAAATAAAATAACACAATATCAATGTATTATTATCAATGTATTATTTTATTCTCATTCTACGTGACTTTACCGAAAGAACCAAAGAAGATGAATCATTGCAGTCACGAAAGCTTTAAATCGAAATACAACAACAATATTTATTAATTATATTTATGGTGATGTAACTCTCGACTGACTCTTAAAACAATGCAAACATCGTCAGCCAAATACATGTCCAGTTTTAGGAACCGCATTTTGGTTGTGATGAACATAGGCATTAAAACAATGCCTTGAGTTAAAACAACCCTTGTTTGTGATAGTTCCATAATCAGATTTTATAAGCTGGCCATCTACTTTGTGGATAATAAAGATATTATGATGCCCTTCAAGTTGGAAGGTAAATATCTGGCAGTTTCATGGCCAAAATAACCACCCACTATAATTGTCCCTCTCTTCAAACACACAATGCCCTTAATTTTAAATGAGCTTTGCACATGGTAGCATAATGAAGCCACCGAGTAAACAGATATCATATCCTTGTGCTAATGACTAATCCCGTATTCTTATATCATTTAGAATGCCTGCGTGCATGATTGTTCTGTCCGTATGGCAATCAGATAACATTCCCCACTGAATTGTGTGCTGGATTACAAAATACACGAAATAATCTATCCTTGAGCCGTGCCGTGGTTCAATAAATATGCCAGACAGCACTAGACCAGACGTCATTGGTTGTTATTGAGTCATAAATAAATAAACGCTTTCTTGAAGTCCATTTTCAGCCATGTCGCACTGGTAATGATTTGGGCTGAGATTCCTCTCGTGTTAAATGATTAATGTGTGTCATGAAGCTTCACCTGGCAGTAAATCAGAAGCTTCCAGATTTTGCAGCCTCTTCGATATTCATTCAGCTTCTTCTCTATCTCATCTATGAAAAGCAAAAAACATTTCAATGCTTACAACAAATAAGAGCACTTCAATTCCACACACAATTGCGGTGTAAATTGTGCAAAAATGGATAATGATGTCTTGTATACAATTGCACTTAAGGAGTCCAATCTACTTGTTATGAAAGTTTCTTTTCATGCATTTTATCAATGTCTCCTTTAACAATGGTGGGGTAAATCATTAAGGTGATGAGTTTTTTGGCCATTTTGTCAACAACTGACTGCGTCCACAGTCACGAGTTGGGAAAAAAAATACTGCAGTGGAATACAATCGGGTGACATAATTTTCACTGCCTGGGATATAAATCAGAAATAAATATGTGTTTGTTTGCTTAATATTGTAAATACATCCCTCGCAGTTTTGAATTTGTTATTTTCTTAACGATGGCAATTATTCATCCGTAATTTTAATAGACATTCAGATATTTGTTTTACTGAAAAATCTGCCCGAGGACATGAAATAGGGCGCCAACCTTAAAAGGCGATGATCACGAAAACGAATCTGATTGGATAAAAAAAAACTTCTGCTTGAATGAGATGGAGTCTACGTCGCGTCAGTCAACCCCTACCCCTTTCTGTAAACTCCATCTCTTTTAAGGGACAATGAACTGAGAAGTCGAGAAATTAACCAACTCTTTACGGAGGTCACGCACACAGGCACATGGGAGCTGTGATTCCCCGGACTGGTGGCACTGAGCGAATGGAACATCTGTGTGGAAACACACATTTGCCAGTTCTTGCGCGACCTCTTACCACCGACGCTGACACTTTAAATGAATCACCACTTTTGTGCGATAACAGGTGTTTAACTGTAGAATTTTGTTTTTGCAATTTCTCGCTCATGCGGCTGTTGACTTGAAGGGCGTCCAATAATATAAAGGGTGGTCTAGAGATCCCCCTTGAGGGTAGTTGCCCTACTTTCCACGCTGGCCAGATGTGTTGGAAGAGGTGGCAGTACTTCACCCCACCTAATGTGTCCTGTTGTTCGACTCACAGTGGAGAACCCATGAATACCGCTGCGTGGACAGAGGTGGCAGGGGAGTATACGAAACCCCTTTAGCTAATTGTGTTACAATCGTGTTAATATGTGAGAGGCGCTCCAAAAGTAATGTCGTCTATTTTTATTTATTTTATATTGAACTAACATGAAAAACTTGATATATAAAAGTCGAGTGACTCAGCAGTAGAGCAAGCGGCTCACAATCAGAAGGAATGCGAGTTCACATCCTGGTTAGGGGGTACTGTGGTTGCAAAATGTGTGGCCCACTTAAAGAATCCTTCAAAGGGACAAACGTTAAATCTGAGAATGCCAAGTTTATGCTTTTTAGATGATGGATCAGCGCAGGCCACTTGACCTCTGAAATAGACTGAGTGTTCTGGCATTGTCATATTGGAGAAGGAATTCTGCCATCTGAATGTCTCACTTCGTTCGTTGCAAAAAACAAGGTCATTTCAAACTCTCCCGCATGTCAAAATGTAACCATGTCAAAATGTAAAGGAATCATTCAAAAGGTTACGGAGGTAGAAGTGTGACCATTAATTTTTGGGGTAACCCTCGCATTGCTGTTCGTGCTATTTTAATGAATAAATAAAATGCAGTAATCCGATGAAGCTCGGCAGATTATCACCAGATTACCAGCAAGGGTAAATGCCCGTTGCTTAGCAATGTTCTGAATACCATCAGATTACGGCTTAACAAAATGACGGAAAAGCCAGTGCGTGGAAGCAGAAAGGCAGGGAAATAATATCATGTTTTGATAGAGCTGATGCACTAAGCATCACGTGGAGTCTATGCATTCTGGTGCTGCACCGCCCGCTTCAGAGTATTTGCAAAAGAGTTAAATCAAAACAAATTAACATGGAGATGAAAGATGTACGATGATCTACACTTTGGCCTGCAGCTACTTAATGACTTCTTTTGTCTCCGGTGCCTAGTCCTTAGCCATGATTGTGTTCATATGTAATTTCCTTATAATTGTATGAACAAATAAAACAGCACTCCAACTCGAATATCTATCGAGCGCAATAACACTTTGTTTTGGAAAGCAAGGAAGTGCTGGAACACCTTATATGCAAAGGGAACAGCACATTAAAATGCATCAACAGCATTTGTATAACATGTCGGCTTTTGCGACCAATATCATCCATAATATAGGTTTTTGTGGGTTAGATCACGATTGTAAATGGTGTGGATTTGCTCTCCCAACACACCAGTTTTGTTGTACTAGTAACGAATTGGCACGTTCTGTTTACGTGGTGGTGGCGGTTTTAACGACACATTTATATTAACGTACTGTAACAAAAAAAACTATATTATGGAGCATTTGTATACGTTTTCAAAAGAATGGAAAAAATATTTCAGCACTTACCTAAAATGTCAGAAAAGGTTGCATGCTCATGGTCCTAAAAAAATAAGAGAAAAACAAATATTCAGAAAAAATGTTTTGCATTTCATCAAATGTCATTCATTTCTTTTGACCTCATTATATATATAAAATGCCCTCAGCTCCTATAATTACTATAATCGTGATGGAAAGTTCTCTAGCTGTGTGGCTTTGCCTACAGATATGAATTGCTATCAAATCCGGACTTAATAAACATTTGTAGCGGACGGGTAAGCTTGAATCCAGTGCAATCCTCTGAACCCTGAGGCTGACAGCGTGTCTTCCTGTAATTTCCCCAAATCCCCTCCCATTGCTTTCCCTCAAAATTATTGGTGTAATTTTTATACTGGTTGTGCTGGCAGACAGATAATGGAAGTGCGTAAAGGCAGCGGAACGTATAAAAGTGAATTACGAGCATAATTTGCGATTCGTTTGCTGCCGCCAAAAAATAAAAAAAATTCCATTACTCTTTGTTCCATCTCAAAGCTCCTGCAGTTGATCCAGCACTATTGCAGCATTGAAATGTCCCGTAACATCAAGGTGCATGATCAAAACCCGAGGTGGTCCAGGAGGGCTAAACTACAATGCATAAGTAAAGCAGTAATGTTTAATAATTTGTTGATTGTGGCAAGTATTACTGGATCAGAAATAACCGTGGGTAATATAAGAATTGGTTCTGGCAATAAAACAGGTGTTAAGATTTTGATTTAAAGCTTTCGTGACTGCAGGGATTCATATTCTTGGTTCTTTCGGTAAAGTCACGTAGAAGGGAAACAATAAAATAATAAAAATCTAAAACAATAAAATTCTCACGACGTTTCGACTGCAACACAGCAAATTTTCTTGCTGTGGTTTTCACACCTGATGATAATTGCTTGTGTTGCAGTCTAAACGTCGTGAGAATTTTATTGTTTAACATTTTTTTATTTTATTGTTTCCCTTCTACGTGACTTTACCAAAAGAACCAAGAATATAGGTGTTCAGATGTAAAACATTTTCGCACGTAGGCTTTTGCGACCAATATCTATATTGTAGGATTGTTTTTTAAACAACAAACAGAAACCCTTTGCACAGAATCATGTCTGCTTTAACCACACTTCATACTTGTTGTGAAGATACAAACAAAAACATGCTCTGGTACTATATGCATTGTCTTTGAGACAGCTTTCTTTAGAACCGGGGGTAATTTGGCGATGGCCTCAACTGCCTCCATATTGGTGTTGGCCGCTGTTAGGCATTCCTCAAGAAGTGGTGCTACCGTGGCCAAGACCAGAACACCACTCTATCTGTGGTGACATTGGATCAAATGACATATCATCAGCTCCGATGTCGTCTGTAAGAGGAGGCGCGTGCACAGCTGATGATCTAAGCGGCATTGCCGGCCGTGCGTGGGCCTGGGCCCACGAATGGTCATCATTGGTTGAACTAACTTACTATTGTGGACACAAAATGAATTAATGGTGGCAACTGTCAATTAAAATGATGCCAAGTGCATTCTTGAAAATTAACGTGATTTTACAGCACAACCGTGAGGAAGCGATAACGCAGTTCGTTTAAATATTCCCAATGAAATTTTGTTTTATTATTATGTGAATGCAATGTTATGCGGTGGCGCAATGATTACTGCACTACTCTGTGAAGTCCAATTACCTGCCACGAGTGATATCCCAACGACTCCCAGGCCACCCCTTCATCACCAACTCGCAATGACCAACGTGTTGACGTATGTCAACACCACCCTGACCTCTCTGTGTGCTCTGACGAAGGCCCATTGCCTGATACATCGCCTATTGTATACTTGTTTCTAGTGTTAAAGACGAATGTGATGAGGTTTTTGTTATTAGTGCACCACAGGCAAAGCAGTATCACCAAATAGTCTGTTGATACAGACAAACAACCCCCCCCATGACTGACACGACGTAGAAGATACCTTCATCCAGTTGTGGATTGATAAACGGCTTGTACGCATTTATACATACACAGGTACATTAATGCAGTGCGAATAGTATTATCTGTATGAAAGGTCACACAATTCCACCTAGACACTGTCGGCAGTTGTCTCGTTAGCACTGGGACATTGCCGCATGCTCTTTCAAGTAAGGGTGCACCTGATCAGGGTAGGGCTTCCGAACCGAAAAATACATTGCCCGTTTTTCCATTGATGGTAAATCAATATAGCAAAGAGAATTTCTGAGATCCTGCCTTGAATCGCACCGATAAAAAATTAACGCTGCATTGGCCAGATGGCTACTCTTGGCTTCCAGAAAAGCTGGATTGTACTCGTATTCGCGGTTGTGTCTTTGCGAGGTTTATTCCTCTAAATCCAGAAAGCTCTACTATTCCAGATTTAAAGGGCTTACTGGAGAGCATGCATGGTTGGGAAGCAAACCCAACTAATTATTTGTGTACTGCAAATTTTTTGTAAAGAGTTAAGATGAATTACTTAAATATATGCATGTTTTGCACATTACAGGAAAGACATTTGAACAATTGCTTACACGGTGATACCATAACTAGGGACGTGTAAGTAATGCATTATTTACATTGATGTAAGCTGTAATTATAGCACAATACTTATTTGATATCTGTGTATATAAATAGTTCTGTAGTGCGTGTGTGCGTGCATATTGGTTTGACGTCACCGAGAGGTATTGATTACATGCCTGGCATGACCTTATTTCTACATAAAGGATTTCACTTGAAAGTCAGCATTTAACACTGAACATTTGACCCCGTAGCCAAGAGCAGCGCAGAACTCTCAAAACCACGTTTAGTGGACCAAAGCGATGACCCCGTGCCCTGCCCGTTTGTTGTATGTGCTGTATGTTGAACTTCTTTCGCCACCACATGTAGCCAACCGTGCTAATTGGAGGTGCGGGAGAAAGACAACAAACTAAACAGAAAAAGCATCTCTAAAGAAATGAGTTTTCAATCTAGATTTTAAATTGCATAGCTCCAGTGGCTTCCCAATATCGGAAGGAAGAACGTTCCAGATGGCTGAAAAAGCAGATCTGAAAGTTCGCGATGCAGTGACCGGCTTTGTCCGACGGCTAGCCAAAAGCCGCTGCAGCGAGCATGACCGGAGTTCACGTGATGATGGTTTATGCTCCTTGACGAGATCAGTGATGCACTGCGGTTCATTTGTGGCGAACACTTTTGTGTGTGTAGTGAGTGTGACCCTTATAATGTGCTCCTTCGTGAGCGGATCATTCAGCGGCGCGTTCTATGTAACCTCTGCACACGCCACTCAACTATCACTTCAGACAAGACAGCACAGCGGCCCATGCCGTGATTTATATTGCTCAGCATTTGAGGTTTTGTGGTGCGGGAGGGGGGGATTTGTTGTGCAGATATTTTGAGATGCCTTGGAGCCAAAAGTTCTGCAAACCGTGGTCTAGAGAGAGCTCAGCCATACCAGCATAAATCGTGAATGCTTGACATATGCAAGGGCCGGCAGAATGCAATAATACCGGCGCTTAATGTAAAATATTCCACAGCTGCATTGAGCAAGGGTATAAAAGACAAATTAGCAGGGAAATTGGCTGACATATCTCCGGCGTTTTTGTAGTGTTAAACATTCATCTTTAAAAGTTGTTAGTTAGCAAAATGGTCCATATAACCTGAGGTTCAATAATTTTTTTACAAATTTTTTTACTAATTTTTTTTACCTTTTTACCTTTACAATAAGAAAACTTGGGCCAAGTACTGCCAAATTTCAAATATGTTCTGGGTTACATTTCACATACGGCTGCTTGGCCTTAAAATGGGAATGTGAAAAAAATGGTAATCTTTTTTTGTTTGTTTAAAAAATCAATGCTGTATTTGAGCATTTGACAAGAGAATTGGAGGAAGAAACCCAAGGGAGCCAGACAGATCTCTTTGGCCCCTCATCGGCACAGGAAGTGCTTTATTTATGTATTTATGTGACACCCCCCCCACCCCGGCCTGCAAGAGGGCAGATACCTGCTTCAAGATGGCAGCAGATTGCATTACCTCATTGAGACAGATAGAATCGGAGAGCGCCCGATTTTTTTTACGGACAAAATTTCCAGTTATTCTCGCGGGCAGCTCTGCGCGCTGTAATGCCAATTTTTTTTTATTCAAAACATTTATTTGAATTTATAAAACAAAGGTACAGGTGCAGCCCTGCAATTTCTTGCTCACGACACTGCTGGCAGAAGCTCTGTATGGCCCCTCTGGAGAGTACTTTGGCCTTTTCTTCCACTGTGCGTGGTGTACCTATTTACAGAGCTGGTTGGACAGAGGCGGGGGAATTTAAGATACCGATTGCAACTTCAACGCCGGGAGACGAACAAGCAACCTCTGAATCCAGTGTTCTAACCCTTATTCCACGGGAACATCCCACTTTTAATGAAAAAATATAAGTAAATAACATCACCGTCAGATGACAGTCGCAAATATTTTCTCGGGTTTCCCTCTACATAAAATGAATATTTTCAACTGCAAGCCACGGAAAATGTTTCGTCTCGAATAAGAGAATTCAATTTCTCATCTTATCTTAAAGGAATGTATATAGCATCTTACCCAAGGCGCTTTACACGTAATTAACGATAGTACATATTAATATAATGGTGGAGATGAGGTGAATGAAATAGATGAGAGGAACCAATGGGGGCGAATCTGTGATGTGTGAATTCGGTGAAAGCGAAATTGATGACGGTAAATTATGATTAATTAAATTAATGAGTGAAAGCAGCATAATGAGAATATGAAGAGGGAACAGTGACGGTGGCGGTTAAGAGGGGGAGATTAAGGGGACATGGGGTGAGTTAGAGAAAATAAGTCAGTTTTGAGTGAGGAACGGAAATTTGAAGATATGGATGTCTGTTACATAAGTCCTATGTACCGTAGTGTCATTGATGATGGCACTATGGTGAAGCGACAGTGCCGTGTGAGTGGTACTGCATGGGCGCAGCCTCTCCCTGGCAACTGATGGGCATACCAGGGGAGAGGCCGGGCAAACAGGAGGGGGCACGTGACCGGATGGGGTGGTAACGAGGGCCAGGGTGAGAGTGAGAGGGACACGTGATGTGGGTCCTGAACCCTCACGAAGGATCTGGAAAACGGGGCGTGGCTAAGGGCGGGGCCTGGCCACGCCGCAGCGGATAAAAGCCGAGCCCCCGGGGGGGACCGGGGTTGGTCCTGGCTGGGAAGAAACCTTCGTGGGCTTCGGTCTTCGTAGACGTGGACCAGGCAGCGTGTTGCCTGTCCTGGTCCGATTTAGTAGTTGTCCCATACAGAGTGTAAATAGCCATCTCCCCGAGTGTTTATAGTTAAGTAAAGGAACGGTGGGTTACCACCCTATGTCGTTACCCCGTTAGTGTTAAGAGTTTATGTGACGTTAGTTAATAAAAGCGTGTTTCCTCCAAGTTCTAGTGTGTGCCTCGATTGAACCAATTACACCTAAATCTGCTGTTGTAGCTGTTGTATTTTGAGCTGGCCCTGGAGCCTAAAGCACCATTCAATAGCTCATGACTCAAGACACTGAGGTCACTCGAGCAGAAAGACTGGGGCTTGACAGCTATCAGGGGGTCCTCTCATCTCATATTAGTGCCTATTCGCCCAAGTGTTTGTCTCAGTGAAAGCATCAAGAGCAAGACACAATGTCACATTGGCCTGACGTCGTATTTTAAAACGAGACTCCACATGTGTGCTCTACAAAATACAGCATACTAAAAGCATTACAAATGGATTAACATGTTCACATGAATGAAATGTCAAACGCATTAAAGCAACAGATTTCATGCCCATGTGAATGTGCGCTTCTGTGCATGTGTGTGGGTGTGCATGTGGATGCACGCTTGTGTGTGTAGGTGTGCATGTGGTTATATGCTTGTGTGTGTGTGTAGGCGTGCATGTGTCCATACATATGTACGCATTTACGCCTATCTCCCACGGCGTCCATCACCGACCGTGGGTCTTGTATCAGCACTATGTGCGAGTGTTGTGGCAAGCCTCTGGGGTGGTCTGCTGAGGCGTGTGGAGGTGAGCGAGTCACCGATTCATGTTGTGTTGCTTTCAAAAAAACCTACTGCACAACAGTGTCACTTACGTAGAGGATAGCGATGATGGACGGATCATCTTTGCGGATGATGTTGGGGATGTACTCGGCCTTTGGGACCTTTGATGAAATCAGCTGTGGGATGAACAAAAAATACGAGATGGAATTGTGTTTTTTTTTTATATCGTGACTGTGTTCAGCGGCCACTGTCAAGCGCTTGCTTGTCTCTGAGGCTTAACGCAACACATGTCGTAGCTCTGCTTAAGCCCCTCGTAACAAAAACACAAACGATTGTTTATTATGCAAATGGCTCGCATAAAACGCCGCATTCAATGCAGCAGACAGTAATGGGAAAGATTATGAAACAAAACATGCAGTGCATTTAGCGCAAATCGCTTGTCTGCATCCAACATTGATCAACACAGCAGAATGCTGCTGCTGCTGCTGCTGTGTGGCATTCTAAATATACAAGCACAGGACGACGGGATGTGCACATTGTGCAGAGAAAACGCTTGGACTGCCTTAGGCACAATTCCAAACCTGCGTGGCATGATGTCGGAATGTAACCAACATGAACCATGTACGCAATTTCCAGGCCTTTAATATTCAATATATTGATTCCTCTTTAAATGATTAAAAAAAATAAAACATTTAACAGTTTTAACTAAATAAATACAGGGTATCCGTAAAGATATCACACATTATAAAATTACAACTAGACAGTGGTATGAACAGAGCGGTTGAATGTTGGGGCTATGGGAAAAATCCCACAATAACCGAAAAACGTGAATTCTTTTCAAAAGCACATATCAGAAGCATTCTAATGAATCACACCCAAACGCCCGTGACTCCTCAAATCTTGACTTATCTATCATGGCCTCAACACATTGACCATGTGTTAAGGTTTAGGGGGATTAAACTGATCTGATAAAATATACTACCAAGTGTGTGTGTGTATATATATAGTTTTATCGACCTAGCTCTAACTACTGTCTAATTATAACTATTTGATAAGGCGTGAGGTTATGTCTGGAGGCTGAATGACCATAATGTTCACTGAAGGGTCTTGGGCAATGGGCCAACAGCTGCAAAGTTAGATGGTGGCATTAGGGATCTGTTGTTCAACTGACCAGAATTCAGACATGGCTGAATGAATAAATATTGGATCAACCATCTCTCTGAACAGAGCTAAGGCTCCACTCGGGTATTAGCAGAGATGACGTGAACGCTAGATCCATTAACGTCACAGTGGCAGGCAGAATAGGCCTCGTCAACATTAACAAACCATTTTCTCGTGAAACACCCCACCACCACCATTCAGCCAGGATTCAACCAGCAGCATTTTTGTGGCATGGGCTCTGGTGAACAATTTTCACACCGAACAAGATCATCACGTAGCCAGATGAGATATTTGGGAAAGCCCAAACTGTAAATGTAAACATGTGCAGACTGATTAATGTTGAGGTGGAGGATGATTGTCCTCTGAGCAGACTGAATAGAGCACTGAGAGCTCTGAACACTGCAGATGATAATGATGATGACGTAGCCTGGCTCAGCAAGGTACGCATTCACTAGAAGATGCATGGATGAGACCTCCATAGAAAACCTGTAAACTGAAAAAGAACTTGAAATAATGGTCCCGAATATAGTCCACCTCGTCAAATGTGTAAACGTTTATTAGCATTGTACTCAAAGCCACTGCAATATCTGCCCATTCTTCACGGTTAAATATTGCCAAATTGTAAGATTTACAATCCAACACGTGAAATATCTGAACCCACTCACCCTGGAATGCGAGTGAATGGGAAGCACACCTTTGAAGGTCACAATATGAGTTCAATAAAAAAAACAAAAGCTTCTGTGTGGATTTTAATTGCTTCCCAGTTCAATAGTAACAAGAAATGTGAAGAGAAACATTTTTCAACAAATCTTTTTTGTTGCTTCAAGGCCATGGCTCCTGCGTCACTATTTTTGAGTAAATATACTCTCGTTTACGTGAACACACACGCAAATCATGCACAAATATTAACAGCACAACATACACAATAAAACCTCTCAAAGCTGGACTCGATTCAGCAGGATTGTGGATAATCTGGAGAGGTACCCATACATCATAAATAAACACCGATTTTCATAGACCATTAACAATATTTGCGTGCCAAGCTGTGCACAGAAGGATATGTAATTCTACACCCAATCCACATGCGTCAGCAGATTTAAGATGTGCAGGACATTTTTTATACATTTATCAACACGAGGGAGTGTAATATTTCAATCTTTGTAACAATTAGAATTGATGCAGATGCGTTGCGCTAGAAGTTCTAAAGCTATACACGTTATCTGGTGTATGCAATTTGGTGAGGACGTGTCCTTGGCTGTCTAAGCCATTCAAACTAAACTACGCGCATTTTTTATTTCATCTGAACCGATTCTGGGCCCCTCGACCCCTCTCACCATTGTTCTACACGCCAGTGTGTACTCTAGTACGTACTCTAGTACTCTAGCACGTACTGGCATTCATCTTTCATGAGTACATGTGCAATGACAGGGGTAATCGCCTGGAGGGGTAATCGCGGGTATGGGCAAGTTATATAATGACTAACTAGAAGGGGGGCGTATCTGGGGTGAAGGTGAAAGGCGGAGTCAGTCGGGAAGTTCCGGGAGCCTGCTCGAAGGTTCTGGAAGGGGGCGTGGCCAGAGGCAGGGCGTGGCCAGAGGTGGGGCTTGGCCACAACGGGAGGTATATAAGGGGGTCGGAACCAGAGGTTCGGAGCTGTTGCGTGTCCTGGGTCCTGGCTGCGTTGCTACTCGCCATCATCTCTCTTCTTCGTCCGGCCGCATGGCCGATCCTCTGCACGGCTCTCATCGTCGTTGTCGCTACGCTAGTCAGACAGCTGTGTAGTTAGACGCCGACGATGGGGTTGTTTAGAAGGGTCGGTTATGTTTCGCAATGTAGGTACGTTGTGTATAACGGCCAGCGTTGTGCTTAAAGTGTGAGAATAAGTAAGAAGCTCTCTACACGACGTGTCTCGGAAGTTGCTCACTACACACGTGACCGCTTCACAACACAAGCAGGACCCTTTTGAGCGAGGGTGTTTGGGACCCAGGTCTTCATGAGTAAAAAAAAAAAGTCTAAATACGTATATGCTCGATATAACAACAAAAAACAATGCCCTACCGAATGTTAGATGTATGTTTAATTACTCTCAGGATAAACCGGTATCGTTTTTTTTGTGCGCACTTCACCCACAATGCCCTGAAGTAACCTTGAGCGGGAATGCATCCATCTAAAATATTCATCCCGTCATCGCGCCAAGAAGAGCACACAGCTTCTTTTTTTTCCAAAGCAAACAAACAAAACGCTTTCCACTTGCCCAGGAACACATCCCAAGGATTTAATTACAATGGATGCGCCCGCTAAGAAGACTAATGACCCTTTGGCACGCTAAAGATTCATTTAGAGCACGCTCAAGGGCTGACCACAGCCTGGAGATCTACTGGCCTGGGGGACTTTAATAATCTCCACCACTGTCTCCCCCCCCCCCCCGCCCTCCAACGTGCGTGGTCTGATGGTTCTGGATTAATCAAAAATAAGAGGGGGGGGGTGGGCAGGGAGGGTTTTAGTTGTCCCTGGATACATTTGCTTTATCCTCCTCCTGCACTCGTGTGCCAATGAATGCGATGTTTAATACTACAGTGTACAGCTACACTTTAATTTGTATAGTATCTGAATGCGTCACCCTCTAAATATACATTAAAATAATATTAAACTTTTTAAATCAGAGTTGAAAACAACTTTGAGAGAGACAGACGATAATTTTCTCATTTATTATCATTAAATAAACACGAGGCATTCATGCAAACAGCATGTAAAAGTTCGTGGGTGAAGTCACTATCCTCGATTTAACCAGGAGAGCAAGTAAACACATTGGGACATAGGAATAATTGTCGCTCTTGCAAGGAAGACCTGAGTCTCATGAAGGCATTTTAAAGTGAACAGAATATTTGAAATCATTCATTTTTTTTACAAACCTAGTCTAAGTTCCACAAAAAATTTCATGACATTTCAAGAAAGGAAAATGACTCGAATAGGCAAGTTGAGGCAATGGAGAAAATTGCACAAAATGTAATTACATTTTTGATTTAAAGCTTTCGTGACTGCAGGGATTCATATTCTTTGTTCTTTCGGTAAAGTCACGGAGAACGGAAACAATAAAATAATAAAAATATCAAACAATAAAATTCTCACGACGTTTCGACTGCAACACAAGCAATCATCATCGGGTGTGAAAACCACAGCATGCTGTGCTACGAGCCTGGAAACCCAAGTTCAATTCCTGCTTATGGCCAACACAAGTGACATTTATCTGAACTGGTCCGAGGCCTTCCCGAGGTCGACTCAGCCTCAAATGAGTACCTGGTACGATGTGTAAACATCGCTACGAGGGAGACAAAGGCGGCTGGGCGTGGTGCTGGCCACCCAACCCCTCATGTGCTACGCGGGCCTTCATAGGTGCTCGCTAAGAGCACTTGCCCCAACAGTCTGTCAAAGATACGAGGGATCTTTGTCTATGATGCTTATAGTCACCCAGACTAGTGATAGATGGAAACAGATACTTTTCATTCTATTACCCGCTGTTCCAAAACAGCAGAAAACAGGGATGTTGGGCAGTACTCTGGAGCATTAACAATCAATGAGAGCCTCACCGCTCTATTAGCAGTGAATGGGGGTTGTGGTACGATTCAAAATGTGATGGTGCAGCAAGCACATCTGGCAGACTTGGGACTTTGTTGCAATGTACATGGAGGACCTTTAACAGATACACAACGACCTGATGTTTATGAGAACCTTCTCCAATGCTTAAAAGGGGGCACAGAGGCTGTAGGGAGGCCAGAGCAAATCGAATCATATTTAAAGATTCATGACCGCATTGGATTTGTGAACACATAACTGCATACACAAGAAAAAGCAGGCAGCAGCATGCGGTTTGTTGATTGTCTTCATTTGTAATAGTTAATTTATCCGAATGGTTCCAGGGGTCTCGAAACAATCACACATTCTCCACGTAACGGAAATAACCTTTCTTAAAAGAGGAACTCGTTATGTGCTGTATTCGAACATACTGGGTAATGAAATAGACACGTCGACTTTGATCCGCATCACCACAAAAGTAATACTCTAAAATCTATCCACCTGATCGGCCTTCTTAGAACCAATAGGCATGTTAAGGAAGTAGTAACCTGGAAGGCAAACATTTCTTAATTTGTTAATACCTACCCTGGGCTATGTGTTCCAGGCTGTCGCCCTGTGTGGCTTTTAAGCTTTGTTCACGATAAGAAAGCAATTAAGTTTTGGTAATGAACACTCTTGTGACATGATTGCTGTATCACTTCATTCGATGCAGTAATATCACAAGAGTAAACGTGGACGTGATTTTACATGCTTTTTTATTATTATCAGCAAAGCTTCTAACTGGTGTCGGTAGCCTGGAACACATAGCCTATGTGTGTACCCACAAGATAACAGCTGTCCATCGTTTCGTATTGCATCTTTTAACTGATGCAAAGTTCATTTGCAGACTGTGTGTGATGATTGATTTATTTTGAACCAACACATCAGCTTTTGTAAATACTCAAAGTAAGCATAATAAATGATCGTCCTTCATCAATTTAAAGATCTCCCCATGAAATGTCAGTAATAGCACTTTGGATTATGAGGATACTTTACCAAACTGGTCAGTGCGGGTCGGTGTCGGATGATGCCTTACAACATTTAAAATATCACTCGCCAACTGATGTTAATCCAGGGTTTGGGAATCAAACTCAGGTCGTCGGCTTCAGAGTACAGTGCGCGAATCACCGCGTCACTACCACGCCGCCCAAAACAATCACAACGGATAATCTATCGCAACTTTCCGCACTGCAAGTGGCACCCCCCTTTTCCGTGATGGTCAACTCAAAGGCAGCGGTAACGACGAAATAAAAAACGTAAACGTGAAGACGCTGGCTGGAATCACAACAGGAGACAAATGAAGGCTCACCATAACTTTAGGCGGGATAAAGTCCGTTCGGCTGCAAGATTCCAGCTCGATCTCCCTCTCCTCCTCCCAGCGGGCGCTGTTGGGCTCCCTATGCAGTCTCTCGTAGGTGCTCTGCATGTCGTGACCTGACACCAGGTTCCGAGACCACCGCATTTCAGTTGGGGAGGATACGTGCAGGATGGAAACATGACAGTGAAACGTGACAGTACTCAGATTGTAAATGTTGTGGATTTGCTCTCCAACGCACACCGGTGTTGCTGTACTGGTAACGAATTGGCCCACGTTCTGTTTACGTGACAAACGTTGCTAATTGGTTGTGTCGGGTGGTGGTGGGTTTAACGACACATTTATATTTACACGATCTAACACACAAAAAATAAACCTTTATTATGGATAGCAGTGCGTGCGCGCAAAAAAAAATAGGCTGTCTTGAACAGCGAAAACACAATGGGAAGTTTGGCGTGTTTTGCACGTCAAGATGCCGCCACAATTCTTGTGCACATTTTGCACAGACCTGTTGCCATGGTTTTCAGCTCAACGGAGCTGAGACTGTGTAATTTTTTTTTTATTTTGACGGTAGAAAGGCAACATGACAACTGTGTTCCCCGTTTTAGAATCATTAGGATTCATCTGCAGAAGTGTTGTCATCATAGCCTGACGCTGCTGCCATGTCTCCCCGAGCACCTCTTCCCGTTGTCTTTCCACTGCCTACATTACAACGCCACAATCTTGGAGCTCTTCTGAGCTGCCCGGCTGCGTCTGTGGACTTTGCGCAGGGGTGGCGACGTCACGTCGGCTTGCAGAGCACGCGAGGAATCGCGGTTACGTTTGGCCGTTCAGGGCACCCATTTTGCACATGTGTAGAAATCAAAGGAAGAATTTGCAATGCAACTGAAATTACATTTGATGGGCTCGGTGGGGGGAGGGGGTGGGGAGTGAACGCAACGAGCCGAGTGTGAACGCCCGCGGTGCAGAGGGAACGGGAGGACGCGCACACTGGGAACCCCCCTCCAAAGACGCTGTTGAGAAGGCATTGTTCATGCCGACTGCTGCTTTTGTTTTTTCATATCCAAAGCTTACTGCCAGAACTTTGACAGCGCAGAATTACTTGCCGTAGTACACAGTGTCGCGCGTGTTAACGGGCGCGAAAATTAGTGACGTCTTCCAAATATTTAAAATGTATTTTTGCCTTCCCCCCACCACCCACCCCCCACCCCCTGTTTCTTTTTAAGTGCTTACAATATGTTGTAATGTATTTTCATCGCACTAAGTTTTTCTACAAACGCAACCTGAAAATCCTTGCTGAGGAAGAGATTTAAAAACGGCAAGCGCGTTGAATATGAGGCGTTACGTCGCAGTTTACGGATAACTTTTTCAGGTGACCACAAAAAATGCAATTGGTGATAACTGCACGAGGTGCAACAGTATATTTACGAGACAAAGCTCTCCGTGAGCTTGATATTAATGGGAAATATACACGAATTAAAATGTATATATTTCGCATAAGCTTGATATGAAACATCCTCACATTGCAACACTAAAAATGAAATACAATCAAATTATTTTACTTTTCCCACTATTCATTACCACATTACTTCCACTAGAGCAGTCACGTAAATGAGCCAGAAATTAATTTAATAAAAACCTTCTGTTGTTATTAACAAATTAATTTCAACTTGTTCACCGTGTCCAGTATGATAAAGCTTTGAATAATAGATTTCATTAGATAATCAATATAATTTCCTTTGATATAGAGATAGTGAAATCAACCTGCAGTTGATTTCTATTGGGTAACTCTTGCTCTATAATACTTAACTTCATCGTATTTGTTTTTTGTCATTTTGGTAACCTAGGTCGCTTTTGAAAATTAGATGTTCACGGTCTCTTGAGTCGTCACCCAGTTAAATAAACTTGGGACATCCACTTAAACTCGACACCAGCGTGGATTTTCCTTCACCGGGGCAAAAGGGGTGACGGGTGAGGCCACTCACTGAATCGAGCATCGAGGACTGGGTCGGACTTGGACTGCGACACGTCGCTCAGAGGCAGGGCCCGGCCGCACTCTCTGCTTTCCTGACGGTCGAGGGACACTAAACGGAGAGGAACCAACATTGCACTGACCGTGAATGATTGTTAAAAGAGGCGAAGAGCACAAGTGGCATTCAAACGCGCACGTATAACGATGTGCGAGTACAAGTTTATTCAAGTTGACAAGTTTAGCTGCTGCAGGTATAATCCACTTCAACAAAAGCATTGGGTCTCTTTTTTTAACGTCTACAACTTTTTGTGTTGGCAGTTTTGCACCACGCCATAAAAATGCTGACAAGCGATAGTAAAACGTATTTTTCGTCCTTGTATTTGTACGCTGTAATGTCGAGCGCACTGGACTTGCAACCCAGAGGTCACCGGATCGCTTTCTCGCGGTGCGGCATTTTTAAGTATGAGCAGGGTTCTTAAATCCCAGCACCTCTGTCCACTCCGCAGTAATGAATGGTGCACCGCAGTTAGTAGATCGTTGTGCCACACGTGGTGTGGTAAAGGTTGTGTACTCCCGCCTCTCCCAAGACGAATGGCCCAATGTGGAAGAGGAGACAAAAATAACGTCTGGAGGTGGCTCTCCAGAACTCCCACTCGCGAAGGCCTTGCCGCCAGCTGCGGCGTCAGCGAGCATTTGCAGGGCTGCATCTCTACGCTTTACTTCGCTTGCAAACAAAATCCTTGACCTCAGGCTCACGGCAAAATGCGTGGTCACCGGTTTTTTTTAAAGTTACCCGCAAATAACTCAACTGGAATATATAAATACTGCAAACAAGACTTGGCAGGCCCCTCCTGCAAGAGAGTCACGGTCCTCATTGAGGCTTTTATTGGTAATACAAGCGTAGTAGTAGTAATATAAAGTCTGGCCCATGAGCACGGATGTTTGTAGCCTGTAGCCTGACGTGGCACCATGTTTCTGTAAAACCCGCCAAGTACATTTGTGGCACATTAGGAATGGACCACTCTTTTAATTATTTCCTCCGTGCAGTAAGGTCATAAAGTGTGGTTTTGTGAAAGTCCTTATGTGCTGTGCAGTACATCAATGCACGTGTGTACACCAGCATGGGATAACTGAGTTGGGCCTGTGGGTGGCTGGCAGGGTTATTGATTAACCAGACATTTACACCAGTCACGTGGTTAACGGCGACTGGTTGAGAATTGCTGTTGCATTTTACAGATTGACCACAATAAATGTGTTTGCCGTCAATTTGGAGCACCTGCCCACGTCGTTCATTTCGAGTGTGGAACACATTCATCCCCATCGAGCCACAGCGGGCCAGATGGCCGCTGCTCATTACACATCTCTAACGGTACTTTGCTCATTGTGGAACCGAGAGCTCCCCTTTATTGGGGCAGCAAAGCGTGTGACTTGCCTGCAGCCCTCCCGCGGTGCCGTCCCACCATCCGCAGATGTTTGTGGAAGTTCCTGCGAAGGATGCGAGAGAGTCAGTGGGAGATGCATTGCCCGATGACAGACGTCGCTTTAACAAGGTAATATTTACCCGACTAACAAGCGGCAGCATTCGACGTCAAATCGCGCTCCTGTTAAGTGCCCGTGTGGGCAACTTTTTTTCCGTTCGTTCTCCGGTTGAGTGAGCTGGAAGCACCAGCTCATTAAGCGAGCCTCCTCATTAAAATATAAAATGCACCTGTGTCCCGCAGCTCTGAGACGCTGCAGATGCGTCTCTCTGTGCACTGCGTGGAAAGTCACAGATTTTTTTTTTAATTTTAAGCGAAATGTGCCGTGCAACGCGGCTCGCTATAAAACGTCCGTCGTAAACACCGAGCTCAAAATGCGAAGCCGGAAGACCTCGTACAATACAACGGGAAGGCGTGCGCAGTTGGCAGTCGGCCAGAGGTTCGAATTTCACTTGGCAAGCCACTTTGTAATACAGAACCAGCCCTTCCTACAAAATGGAGAAGCGGTGGCACTTTATACCCATTTCAGATAAAGACTGGAAGCGGATGTACAGCCCAATCAACGCCCACCCTTAAATTTAAGCCGCGTTTGGTTGGAATATCCACGAAGAACCACAAACGCGCGTGTGAACCAACGCACCCGCGTTAAATCGCACAAAAAAAGGCAACACACTTGGATTTATCTAAGTGCCAGCACTTCAAACATGTCCGTGGCTTTTTTCTTTTGTATCGCGAAACATTAGCACATTTTCCGTAGCCCCGTGGATGGATTTAGGACTTTCAATTGCGAACAACTGTAAATGCATTTTGTCGGTGGAGAGTGTCTCTCCTAACAAGTAAAAAAAACAACAACAACGTTGAAATGGGTAGACGCTCCGAGCACAGGGGAACGAGACAGTCAGCTGTCTTCTGCCACAGCTGTGCGGTGTTTTACAATTCTACAGAGAGGTTGTGACCCCTTTCACAAATCGGCCTGCCACCACGGCTATACCCCAAAATGGAAATTCTCAAGGCCAACGCTCCGTACAGTCACATTCACAAAACCGCAGGGGGGGGATGGGGGTGGTGGGCACACTCACGTGCATGCACACACCGAGAATACAAACAACATACACCGGAATTTCTGGCAAATTTCAAAGCCAGCAACCCCCCCCACCACACACCTCCATGGCTGTTCTTCCACGCGCACGCACGGAGCACACGTCAATGTGCATTGGCACGAATGGCCAACATATTCATCGCGAACGCTGATGTCCACGGCGCTTCGCTGCGATTTCAGTTTCCCAGTGACGATCGCTGAATCGGAAGTGAGAGGACGCTCTGGATTCTGAGGCGGGAGCTGCGTGCTCAGAGCCGTGCCCTGTGATCTTCCGTTCCCAGAGGCTGCGTCTTTATCAGATCACGAGGGCAAAAACGGCGCCCAGCTGTGCTAGTGTGCTGGCATTCTTCCATTACTGATCAGCGAAAGAGGCGAAATCAAATTCGCAAGCAGTTAGTGCCAGAACTGCCGATGGGTTAATCCACCTCTCAATCCACCAAACTGCCTTCCCCATGAGATGCAAGTGTTGGGAAAGCGAAAAGTGTGCCCAGCAAACACCTTCACCCTCTGCGCCTACCCCATCGGCCAAAACAAATAAATCCTACGATGAAGGCTGATAAAATAATATTCAAATCTACTTTGCCTGCCCACCGTTTGATGTACTACCAAGTCTTCCACCAAACATAATGGCTATATATTCAAACGTACGCTTGAAATTTAAATTCTGTAGTCAGGGAAGCCTCCCCTAAGTCTTCAAGAGTTTTTTTTTTATGTTTGGTCTCAACTCTGCATCACTTTCAATGGAAATACAATATAGGCATTTATAGAAAGTTGGTAAAGGCGCAACCCTGCAATTGTTTGCAAGCACCACCGCTGATGGAAGGGCAAGCTTTCGAGACCTTCTCTAGAGGGTAATGTGGCCTAATCTTCCACACTCGCCAGACACCTTGGAAGGGGTGGAAGTACCCACAATATTCATCACAACACGTGACCTGCCGATCGACTGTGGTGAACCCATTTCCACTTGCTTGGGTGGACAGAGGCGGGGGGAAATAATGCCCCATCATTTCAACTGCTGCGCCAAGAGGTCAAACCTGCAGACCTCTTGATTGCAATTCCAGTGGTGTAAACCATGACACCACGGAAGCACACGCAGGCGGGCATTAATCGCCAGTGCCTAAATTACGCCTCCTTCTCTACCAGGCCGTAGCTGAGGGATCTGGCAGAGGGTAGAAAGCGTTGGCGAGGTGTGATGGTATCGATGGCTCTGGCCATTGACCTTTCTCTCCGGCCGCTGGAAAGGCAATGCTCACCTCTGCACCATCGCTGAAGGATCCAGTTCCCGCTTGCGTCTCTTCCGCTCCGCGTATCCACGGAAGGCACTGCAGACGTGCAAAGCACAGCCGCTCGATTCACCATTAATTATTTACGCGAAAAAAAAAGTCGAGCATTTTAAATGAAGCACAGTCCTGAGATGCGACGTAATGACGCGGAATGTTATTTAATGGAGGGTACTTACGCGATGCTGTGGTTCGGTGTTCGTGCAAAAGAAAAAGAAAAAACAGAATTACGAGATGCTCATTATTTAAATGCAAATGGGTGTTTTTTTTGCACACGAGATTTATTTATTGCAGAAAATATGACGCAAATATAACGTGCAAAAAAGTTGTATACGTTCAGTTACTTTAAACAATGATTCTTTAAAAATATATATATAATAAATCCTTAACTCAATAATACGCATGCATTTATATGGGGTTACTACTGCCACCTGATGATTAATGCATTGATAATTACGCGGTTGCCTCATGATTGTACACACATTTCTAAACACGGCAAATGTGCAACAGCTGAGAGGTCTGTGAGAGGAATGAAGCGATGAGACGGGGTGGTGGCATCTTCCACGTTGGCCTTGAAGACCTCACAACCTTGGTCTATTCTACCCCAGCTCATCGTCACATAACGCTTGTCAAAACTTTTATTTTATGGGGTTGTTATTTTAAATATATGTAAATAATAGGGCCGGACCAGTTTCAAACACCGGCTGAAAAGGAGAGACCCCCCCCACCCCTTCCCAAGAGATATTCCAAGGAGCACGAGGTTAGGGACGGCGGTCGGGGGAGCGTGCTACGTACGCCTGCAGCGTCGACGCGGTGCTGTGCAGCATGTGCATGCTCTCGCTGGGGAACCAGCTCCGGCACTCGATGTCGTCTGTCAGGCGAGAGACAAAAGACGATGCCCCCCCACCCCATTTTCAAGCAATCCTCACAACAAGTCACCGGAAAAAAATGAAGAAAATTACGGTAACACGCCTTGCCTTAGGAGGCCCTGCAAATTGCTCGTTCAGAATGAAGTAAACAAAAAAACACTCCACGCGTGTACTTTCGCGATCGTACCGGCCAAAGCAAGCCTCGCTCGCCGTCATGCCTGTCATACTCAAGTGGGAGATTAGTCATAATAAGGGATTCTTGAGACTGAACCCAAAAGTCCTTTAAAACATCTTACGAACAACACGTCCACCCCCCGAGCGCTGGGGTTTAATTAAACTTGGGCACCACAAGGTGGGAATGGAATGTGAAAGTATATAACTGAAATAATGAAAGATTAATGTATAAATTATTAAACAATATTACATCTCACAATATGTTCAACATCATTAAACCTACGTATGTTAATTGTGAGCAAGCGAGCAGTGACATTCACAGCAATAATATTCATACGTATTGCATACATATGTCTGACGTGTCCTGTCCAAGCCCGACTACATTTCTTAACAGTTTGAATTCTCTTTACTATGCACGCGTTCTCTAATCCATGAGTTCTTCTCCCCTATCTCAATTGAATTCCACGCATGCACTTCTCTACGCCTGAGACGAGATGGTGGCCGATGGCCAACAACATTAACGGAGTGGGTGAGCCAAGGCCATTGAATGTGTTGTTCGGAGGACACGTCCATTTGGGGGAGACGGAGCGATGAAATCACCTCGTGTGCAGGTGCAGGGCGAACGTTCACATCGCAAGCTCGTGAGAGACAGTGGTGGATGGGGAGACCTTCAGCCAGCAGTGGATTGGCCATGGTTGCTGCTGATAATATATATGTCACTGCTGGAAAGATTATTTTTCCAATTTGGTGCCAACAATCTTTCTTAGGTCTCCCCACATCCCGACCCCACTCCAGGGTCAACGTGTAAACTTTAAAGTGTTCAATGTCTCTTCTAACACACCCCTAGAACACACACACACAGCCAATGTCTCCCTACACACCCACACAAGACTTCATGAATATCTGCTTAGCAGAGCAGCACACACATACAGGATGAGTTTAATTTTCGTCACTGACCCTCGGTACTGAAAACACGATGTTTTACTCTCCGCGTGGCTTATCAGCTGATTTAAAATGTCCTGCTCAGCTGTTTGTAAAGCCCTTTTAGACCTGCTGTACATTATTTATTTTTTTACAGCTTTTATAGAATTCAAAAAGTACCCCCATCTTTCGGTTGCCATATTTTTGGTTTGTAGTGTAGCTTTGAGCATTCCATGGAGAAATAACTTTGGCCAGCTATTTCCCACTATCAAAGACGTGCGTCACAGCTTCCATCCGATGAACTGTCCCAAATGATTCATACATCAGTTTTCATCATCATCATCATCAATCATCCATGGTAAATCCAATGCTGGATGAAGTGCAATTTTTGGAACAAGATTAGCAGGCGTCCCGAAATATTTGACATAGAAATTAAATACCATAATTTAAAAAAAAATCCTTAAAAAATTCCCAAAACCATCAGCCTCTTATCACATTGTTCACGATAATAATTTGTGAACAAAATTTGAGGCCAGCCAACAAGGGGAGCAAGAAGAAAGATTTTTTTTTTAAATCGGCCACTTACGCATTACACATCAGTGGTCTCAACATATACATACAAATGCAGGAGGTCAAATGTGCGGAAGGTTAAGCAATGACTCTAGGTAATTTTACCACACCTGTCCACCCACACGGTTTACCCGTATTATTGTACAGGGAAATGGAGTTTTCAGGTCCATATGGCATACAGCCGTTTCAATAGGGCACTTTTTTTTTTAAACATTGTCTATTTATTTGTGTTTCTCCCTTGTGATACTTAGTAGGATGAACGTTGAGATTTCTAAGGGCACGAGGTGACCAATAAGGTCTGCATTGTTCTGTAATAAGTTAGGCACTTGATTAAGGGGGTGACAGGTATGTTTTTACTTTTCCCAAAAACATGGCAGTTGAAAAGAGCTCGCACATTGCTGGAGCCTCACACAACAACAACAACCACCACCCTCCCCCCCAAACGGAAGTCAGCAACAAAAACTTAATAAAAAATACATCAAAACAAATTGGCAACGTTAAGCGTGAAGTCCAATTATAAAACTGCTCATGCAGCCATGCAGACAACAGTCCTGTTTGAAAGCAGCACCAGTCAAGTGATGACACAGTTACATAAACTCTCAATGTGCCTTGGGATAGAAAATGAGTGAGAAGTGTGCCTATTTTTGTCCGCTAATGCTACTCTCACAAGCACGCCGGTCCCCTTATGTTGCACATTAAAGCCAGGAGCGTAAACACTCAGAGGCCAAATGAATGCACCTGAGGTTCATCCTTTTGTTCGGAGAAAGAACGGTGAAAGCAAAATAAATGTGTTTAGTCCTCCTGATGCAAAACGCGAATTTCAAATGGGATTTTTACCTTTGTCCATGCCTAATCAGTGGCTCTGCAGAACAACACTACTTTTGTTTCTCTCTCCCTTGTTCCGAGAATGAGACCTCGAGTGTTCACAGCATTTAACGCTAAGACGGTACATAATGTCTCAAATAAGAACATCTAATAATAAATGCACCGGACAAAAACACCGTGCAAAAACGTCAGAAGGACAGCATTACAATGCTACAAGAGCTAACCGTGAAAAGCACCTGTAAATACATAACATCACTTGCAGCACACTTACCCACATACACCCATACGAACATAGATACAACTATATAATAATAAACGTATAGGCTTGTCAATCAACTGCTGGATAAAGGCCTCACCACGCCGTGTCAGTCAAGAGAGTTGCTTGACTACACTCCAACGTGGCTCGCCATGCTTCGGGCACTCGCCACTGATGTTTGCGATGGCCAAGAATAAAACTCGCCATCCAATATTAAAACACAATATCGAATAATACTTTAGGCTTTTGGCACCGCTACGCATAAAATAAAATTTTGCTGTTTAAATATACCGCGTCTATTCAGAGTTCCTCCAACACATCTCGGTGTAGGGCTCTGCCCCACAGAGTCAGGGTTTGACATTTCACTCAGTGGCTGTCGTATGCCATTCGCAGTCGACCACAACCTCGTCCCGTAATGTTTCGCACCCTTGTCGGCGGCCAGCGGCGCCTCTGGGCGTCGCACATGCCACTGCCTACTGGGCCACGCACAACGTGCGCTGCAATCCGGGTGAAGAAAAAAAACACACACACAGAAAAAGAGGCGATGCGCAAACGACGCCCTGACACCCACCGGAGATGCGATCCATGCTGTACATCCGCTCCAGCTTCTTCTTGCTGTTCAGCGCCTCCTGCTCGGCCTTCTCCTGCTCCAGGTCGAAGGAATGCTTGAAGACGCCGAGGCTCTCGCAAGCCGGACACTCCAGGGAGTCGCGCTCCCTCACGCTGGAGCCGCCGCCACCACCATCCCGGCTGCTCCCGGCGCTGCTGCTGCTGCCGCCGCTGCCGCTGAAGTGCGATCCCCGGGAGATGGCGTGAAGCCAGCGCAGGTGGCGCCTGCCCTTGTTCTCCTTGCTGTGGCCTCCGCCGCCGTGGCTGCAGCCGGCGGCCGGAGAGGTCCGGGCGGACGCGGAGCGGGAGGGCGGCGGCGGCGGGGACGGGGGCCCGTAGTCGCGCTCGTCGCCGAGGATGGTGTACACCTTGGGGGGCTGCAGCAGCCCCGGGTCGGGCGGAGGAGGAGGAGGAGGAGGTGGAGGCGCGGGAACGGCAGACGGAGACGAGGAGGGGATGGAGGGGACGGAGGGGGAGGGAGCCGGCGTCGCGGGGGTACGCTCCGCCGCCTCGTCCGAGAAGCTGCGGCTCAGCGAGAGGCGACGCTTCTGCTGGAGCAGCGAGGGGGGCTGTAGGCACGGGGAGGGCGTCGTCGCGGCTGACGCCGACACCACCACCACCACCGCCGCCGCCGCCGATGCTTCCACGCCGGGCTCCGACAAGCACCGTTCTGCCAAGTGGCAATCGCACCGCACGTTCTCACGGCGCCGCCCACAGCAAAACAACGCCCTGAAGCTGACCAGAGCCATTTGCTGTCCGCCAGCCGGTGCTGATGTGCGACGTTGTTCCTTGGTAAAGTTCTAGGCAATGAAGCGTTTGACAGCAGGCACGGCGGCCGGGTCTAGAGACACAGCGTGGCGCTCACATGTTAGCAATCAGCTATAACTGGGTCATTTTTACAGTGTGAATTAGTGGTGTAGCGAGCGAGCTGGCTGTGCGTGTGAGCGTGCAGACAGTGAGTCTCCTAGGGGGCTCACCTGTGCCTCCTCTTTCGTGGCCCTGCATGTGACCGAGCTGAACGTAGTCCCCAAAAGACTTCACTGCCCTGCGCACCCACAGGTCACAACAACACAGCGAAGCAGATGTTCAAGTGCACCAAGATGGATTTGACAAAATATGGTGACAACACAATTATCAAAGCTGTATAAAATGTTTTACTGGATTTTTTTTGTACTTCTTCATGGTGAATTATAATGCCAATTGTTAATCCAGGAAAGCCTCACCTGAGTCTCAAGACTCTTTTTAAGGAAGGTCCTGCTACATGGGACCATTACGAATTATGTATGTGGCTTGGGGACAGGTACCAAATTCATATTTCGCCAGACACTATTTCAAATGCGGCAATAGCACTCCTACTTTAAGCAGATCAAGACAATCTCACCGTGATGACTAATAATAAATGAATAAACCAGCGAGCCAAAATGGTACTTCGTAGCTGCAATCAGGATTATAATGGAAAAAGACCATCGAAAGGCGAATTAATTCACGATTTGCCAGTTTTTAATGAGACTTACTGTACCTGAATTTAATTGCCGCTGAGGAAATAGCTTCTGCTCGCATTTGTCTTCTCTTGGACACAGAGGTCCCCATAGTCAGCCGAGCGCTCGCTCCGCTCTTCACGGTGCAGAACGCAGCACACCAAAGTGAAAAAAAAACACAGAAACAAATGGAAATGTAAAAAAAAATAACAGCTTTCGTGCGAGAGAGCTCCCTATAAATGTGTCTCTATCCCCGCCGAAGCTCTCACAACACCGTGGAACGGCACCACAGTGCCCACAACTGCTGCTGCTGCTGCTGCCCGACTGCCGTTGTAATTTTTGGACAGCGATGCCCGAGTCATGATTCTGGCCGGGAGTCCTCCTCCAGACTGAGTGAAGCGGCGGGTCAACGTGGTGGGGTAAGGGGGGGAGTGGTGATAGCGGGGGGTGGGAGGATGAAGCGTCCGTGTGTGTGTCTCTCTCTCTCACTCCCTCGCTCTCTCTCTCTCTGTGTTGTCAGTGTCTGCGTGCGGCCGTAGCGGTGCCTGGGAGGTGAATAGAGGAACGGGGGTGTTGGGGGGAGGTGTGTAATCGCGAGCGATGGTGGTGGTGATGACGATTCCGGCGTTTGTGTCCCGTGGGGGGTGGAGGGGGGGTGATAAGGAGGGGGGGGGGGGCGATCGCACCGATGAGAAGTCGCTCTGCGCGTTTGCACGATGTGCACTACCCACCACTGGCTGCAGCCACACAGCACACAAAGACAAAGATCCCCCATATAGCCTTAACAGGCTGTTTGAGGCAAGTGCTGTCAGCAAGTAGCACCTATGAAGGCCGGCACGGCACACGAGGGGGTGGGTGGTCAGCACCACGCGCGGCCGCCTTTGTCTCCCCAGTGGGCGATGTTTACACACCGCACCAGATACTAATTTGAGGCTGAGTTGACCTAGGGGAACCCCAGGACCGGTCCAAATATTCGTTACTGATGTAGGCAGTGAGCGGGAATCGAACTCGGTCGGGTGACCAGGTTCGGAGCGTAGCGCGCTCACCGCTACACCACCACTCCCACGTACCCATCCACACACAAGACAAAGATCCCCCCCTATAGCCTGAACAGACTCTTGGGGAAAGTGCTGTTAGCGAGCACCTACGAAGGCCGGATCGGCACACGAGGTGCGGGAGGGGGGGGTAGCTAGCGCCACGCCCGGCCGCCTTTGTCTCCCCGGTGACGATGTTTCTACACACACACACGCCCACGCGCACCCCCTCCTTGCACGTGCGCAATCGCCAGCACACGCCTACAGCCGGCTTGCACCTTCCTCTCCCATCCATCTCCAAGCTCCAACACCCCCCACCCCCCAAACCCACCCACACCACCGACAAATCCGAGGCACAGATGACACGCAAGACAAAGACTTACACACACCCCCTCCTCCCTTCCCTCCACACCGACCATTGAGTGCCAAGTTGCTGTTTGCGAGCGCCTATCGTGAGACCCCCCCCCCCCGATGGTGAATGTGTGATGGTCTACTGGCGTTGGTACAGACAAAGCGAGAGAGAGAGACACGCACAGCAACTGCGGCGGACACCTTTGTCTTCACACGCGTTCGTCGCCGCTGGTTCCCGACCACAACCGCTGTCTTAAATGAGCTGCTGCTTGCTGCTCGCTCCTGGCTGTGGCTGCTGCTCAAATTAGGCTGAGTCAGCCGTCGGGGGAAGGGAGCTGGAGGAGGAGGAGGAGGGTTTGGAGTCGTCAACGAGTCGCACTGCCACCCTGTGTTACTCGTGCAGGACCACGGGGACGCGGATCGACACCCAACCCAGGCGTGATGGCACCGGCTCCGTACAATGGGCGCGTTCGAAGGGCAAAAAATAAACACGCACGTGAACCCAATGACACACACGTGTGTGTGTGTGTGCTACATCGGTGCTCGCTAACAGCACTTGCCCCTACAGTCTGTTCAGGCTACACGGGGGATCTTTGATCTTTGTCACATCGCCGCGGGGAGCGGTAGTGTAGCGATTAGCGCTACGCTGCGCTACGAACCCGGTGACCCGAGTTCGATTCCCGCTCACGGCCAACACCAGTGACGATTATCTGAACCGGTCCTGGGCCCTCCCCTAGGTCGACTCAGCCTCAAATGATGACCTGGTGCAGTGTGTAGTAAATATCGCCACTAGGGAGACAAAGGCGGCCGGGCGTGATGCTGACCACCCACCCCCTCGTGTGCCGTGCGGTGCTCGCTGACGGCACTTGCCCCGAAACGTCCATCGAGGCGATACGAGGGAGGTCTTTGTCGAGTAAATCAATACCGGAGAGACAAAGGCGGCCGGGCGTGGTGCAGGAACAACCCCACTCTCTCGCGTGCCGTGCCGGCCTTTAAATAAGGTGACTTCTCACAGCACTCGCCCCAAACAGTCTTTCTGAAGGCTCTATGGGGAAGAGGTGGTGGATCTTTGTCTTTGTGTGTGTGAAGGATCGCGCGTTATGTTGGTGACACACTTGTGCAACATCGCAACACTCTTTTTGTGTGTGTGTGTGCACACAAGACATTGAGACATCGCGTCCTTGAGATTCGTACCTGGGAAGGAGAGATAGGGGGGTGGTGGTGGTAGTAGGGGAGAGTGGAGTTTCGGAAGATACACGTGTGTGCGTCTTAGGGGCCGTCCATAAATGACGTCACGCACCTGGGGGGGGGGGGGGGTCAGACATTTGTGACGATGTGTGACGAGGGGGGGGGGGGTTGAGAATTGTGACGTCACATCAAAATGCGCAACTTTAAATAAATATAGACAACACGTTCCACTTAATTAAATAGACGTTTAAATAAATGTTTTCTCCTACAACATCAGAGTACAGCGCAACATTAAATACACACTACAATGACAATAGTTTAAAGCGATTTGAAGCATGTTTTTTTTGGGGGGGGGGGCAGAGCTTTGTGACGTCATATTTGAGGGGGGGGGGCGTCTGACTTTTTGTGACGCCGTGTGACGAGGGGGGGGGGGTCAAAAATCGTCCAAAATCGCGTGACGTCATTTATGGACGGCCCCTTATTTAATCGTTAACAACAACAACAACAACAAAAAATCGTGGCTTGCAAAAATCTCCATAGATATCATCATCACATGAGCGGTGTGACGTGGATGGTCCCGAGACACGTTGGTTCGCCTCCCACAGACTTGCTGGGACGATTTGCTGTTGGCGAGAGAGCGATGATGGGAGTAGCGTGGGATGATGGTACGGCAACTATGCCCGGTCACCTTTGTTTGCGCCCACCGCACCAAAGGAAATCGTTTAAGGTTGAGTCGACCTAGCCGATGCCCAGCACCGGTTGCGAATAATAATTATCACTCGCTGCCGACGTTTTACTTCCTTGGCCCGGTTGCGAGGTTCAACGTCGGGTTTCGCGTGCGTCGCTCAACAACATCTCTCTCTCTCAAAGCCAGCGTTTCATTGCGTGGACGCGAACACCACAGGCACACACACAAAGAAGAAAAACAAACACAAAGAAAAAATACGCACGCAAAAAAACACCGCGCACACACAAATAAGAATAAAAACACACACAATTCCACACACACACAAAGAAAAACACACAAAACACCACACACACAAAGAAAAACACACAAAACGCGCACACGCACACAATGCCAGATTACACAACGATGTAGGGCCCACTCCACTGAGTCTCCGAGGGCCACCACCACCACCACGAACCACATCGTCTCACGTATCAGCGCCGGAAATGGATAACAAAGACAAAGATCCCCCGTGTAGCCTCTAACAGACCGTTGTGTGTGTGTGTGGGGGGCAAGTGCTGTTGGAGAGCAGCGCCCTACGAAGGCCGGCACGGCACACGAGGCGATGGGGTGGCCAGAATCGACGCCCGCCCCACCGCCTTTGTCTCTCGGGGATGCACATCCCATCGGGTTTCTCATTTGAGGCTGAAAAAAGTCGACCGAGGGGAGGGCCCCCAGGCAATTGCTCACATTTAATCGTTGCCCGGGTGTTGGTGGCCTTCGAGCGCGAATCGAACTCGGGCGGCCGGGTCTCGGAGCGCAGCAGCGCGCTGATCGCTAACATCCACGGCTCCACACAGGATGACACTCGCACGTACACAACAACAACAGCCATTCGCCACTTAGTGGCGTTGAAGTCACCACGACGCTTGTGCCAGGCCATGTGCACCTTGAGGCCACGTGAAGTGTCGAACGCCCGCCGGCAGGAGGTTACGGTGCAGACCCAGCAGGTGCCACGGGTCGACTGACACGCACGCACGCACACGTGCGTCACACATGGACGCGTTAAATAGCTATGGCTCATTTGTTTTGCAGATACGTGTGAGTGTGTGTGTAGGGAGGGTAGTGTAGCCGTTAGCGCGCCTCGCTTCGAACCTCACGATCCGGGGTCGATTCCCGCTCACGGTCAACACCGGTGACGATTATCTGAACCGGTCCTGGGCCCTCCCCTAGGTCGACTCAGCCTCAAATGAGTAGCATCGGGGAGACAAAGGCGGGCCAGGCGTGGTGTTGGCCACCCACCCTCTCGTGTGCCTTGCCGGCCTTCATAGGTGCTCGCTAACAGCACTTGCAGCAGTTTGCTACAAGCAATACGGGGGATCTTTGTTTTGTGCGTGAAGTCGCACGATTATTTGCACATATCGGCATGTGTTGCTATGAAGCTCCTACATGTATCTCAATGCTCGGGCACATGTGCCTTGTACTGTGGATAAAAATAATAAATGCGCACAGAATTAATCTCATTTTACGATTCCAAAAGCATTGTCTTTGAGAGGATATCCAGTTGAAATGATGCCTTATGGGATAATTGTGATACAATTCTAACTGCTATTGCCTAACGTTTCTCGAAAATAATGATATATGGTCAAATGTGTCAACCAAAACTCCCACGTTTTCTATTTCACCTCTTCTAAGACTGACCATCTACTGCAGTATCTGCCGTGGTGGCTAAATATGAACTACCTCGCCTGGTATGCAGGAGGTCGTGAGTTCGAGCCCGACCCTGGCGCATGCATATTTGGAGTTTGCATGTTCTCCCCGTGGTCGCGTGGATTTTTCTCTGGGTCCTCCGGTTTTTTCCCTCCACATTTATAAACATGCGTTTAGAGTATTTGTCTGCTATAGATGTCCACGTGATAAGCCACTTCAGTGAGCTATCATTCGTGGCCAGGTCGCTTCTGAAAAAGAGCTATATAGCTCAGTGGGCCTTTCCTGGTCAAATAAAAAATAGTTTAGTTTTAGTTGACCGTGGTCTTCCAACAGCTTGGACTGGTCGAGGCTGTTATATACTCCCTCCTTTTGAATATTTCATGATTTGTCGTCGGCGAAGAAAGAAGATTTATAATTCCCAGTGTAGTTTAATTAATGCAATTACTGTGCAATGTGTAATGGAGATTTATTAATTTCTTGAGCTATGAAGATGGGATTACAACAATCTTGAAATTTTAAATGTAAAGTAACTCATATTCTTAGCTCTTTCGGTAAAGTCACGTTGAAGGGAAACAATAAAATAATAAAATATATATA